ACTGCCAGCCATTGTGACAGAGCAGAGTGTGATGAAAGAGGCCCTGGCTTTGAATACCATCACCTGAAATTGACACGTGTGACTTCTGTTTTCATTGGGCCAACCAAGTCACTTCAGCTGGGCAGAAAACTGCAGTCCTACTTTTTGCCCAGGAGAGAGAACATTTTTGGATTGCTCTAATGACCACTACAGACTACTCTTTCAAATATTAAATATCTTATTTTAAAATAAAGAATATATATTTTTAATAAATATCTTAAAAAAACAAAATACCATGAAGACAACTTGAAAGTCACAGCTGGTCAGACATTGACAAATTCTAGGATCTGTGACTATCTGCCCTCCACACAGCCGTATTTACTGGTGAATAAGGACAGGAAGCCTACAGAAAGCACCTCCATTCAGAAAGGGAAGAATAAAGTCACGGATCTCCAACAGTCATGAAATGTCACTGGAGAGACGACTTGAGGACCCACCACCCTGAGAAAAAGGAGTGGTCTTTGTGAGGCCTTTTGGAAGGGGTTTTCCATGACCCTTGTCCCCATCCTGATTTTTCTGATTCCTGCTTTCTACCTGCCTTTTAAATTTTTTGTATCTTGACAAATGCATCCAGTAGTAACCAGGTACAAAGATTCTGTGTTCTAAGTTCTTCACAGAAAGCGTCAAGCTTGTTACATTTCCTGCCTTTTAATTATTCAGGTGACAGTTTTGCTGGAGGGATTGGCATTCTTCCAGCCTCCCATGTCAGTTCCTGCAGCCCCTTTCTTAAGTGACACCAGCTACTGAAGCTGGAAAACTGTCTTAATCTGGACTCCTGTTTTCCTGCATGTCCCACATCCAGCCTGTGAATCCTGCCAATCGATTCCATCAATTTTCTGACACTATCAGGCTTTTTTTTGGGGGGGGGGACTTTTTTTTCATGATTTGCACACACATCATTTACCCATAAGTCAGACATCTGTGAGATAAGTATCATTTTACAGATGTGGAAACTAAGGCAGGGAGAAGTTAAGTAACTTGTCGAAGAACGAAGATATTAAGTGGCAGAAATGGGATTGAAATTCTCAGCCCAGTGGGAGCCGGCAGGTGGCACTGTGGTTAAGAGAACTGGAATTCCATATGGCTGTGTTTCGAGTCCCAGACCTGGCAGCTTGCTTTCTCACTTTCCACTTTCTCGCTTGCTCTGTCCCTCTCTGGTCAAATTAAAGTGAGAGAAAGAGATAGAAGAGAGTGAGAGAGAGAAAGAAAAAAAAGTTCTCAGTCCAAGAATTTAACTACTGTGCTGTCACCTGAGGCTGTCCCTCTTGGCTGACTTGCACTTGCTGCCATGTCCACTTGTCTCCCCTGAATACAGTCTTCATTAGCCACTTTATGTTTCTGGACATCCCCACCTTCAGGTTGGAGCAGTGGCAGACATCCCCCCGAGTTGGCCTCTCCTGAGGCGCCTCCTGCTTATACCTGGATTATTGGCTCCACATTATAGCCTCCTCGTACCATGGTCCAAAGCTCCACTCCCACCCCAACCTGGGTAGATGATACTTACATGGGCAAAGAGAAACGGTGACTGACACTTCACACAAACCTACCTGCCTGTTACCTCAACAGGGAATATTTAAGAGCCTCCCCAACCTTGTTCTTAGTTTTTTTTTTTTTTTTGACTTCTCCAAATTAAAAATCCTTTTCACTTTGCTATCCAAAGTGAGACAGCATTCTCTCCATCTTGCCATTCCCACAGACCCATCCAATTTACTCCACTCCAAATTGGACCCACCTCCTTTTCTCCTGGAAAGTGTTTTTTTAATTTTTAAATTTCTTTTTTTTTTTTTTAATTGCTAGCGGGCTGTGCACTAAGCAGAGCAAGAGAGAAAGCACTGCCCCAATGGGGCATAGTCCCCATAGGGACCGCAGTCCCTTCTTCATCCTGTTGGGATTTTGGGCACACATGGGTATACATCCACATGTTTTTCAAGCTGCAGGGGCTGGGATTTAAACTGTAGTTGGCCATGTGAGCTCCAACTCCCTCAACCATTAGGCTACAGCCAGTCCCCTCCAAGTGTTTCATTTAAGGATCATTTCTGGGGCCAGCAGATGGTATAATGGTTACATCGCTAGACTCCCATGTGGTCGACCATGGTTCAAGTCCCAGATCCAGCAGCTTAAAATACACCAGTTGTGTGTGCGTGCATGCCCAAGATCCCAGGAGAAGAATGGAGGAGAATACCATCCCCCACAGGGTGTGCTTTCTCAAGTTCTGTCTGTCTCTCCAGTGAGCGCATGCACCCTGTGGTAAAAAAATCTCTCTTAAAAAAAAAAAAATCATTCCCTGGGGTTAGCAGGTGGTATGGTGGTTGGGGCACTGGACTCCTACATGACTGACCAGACAGGGTGGCTTGCTCGCTCGCTCTCTCTGTGGTGAATGCACATGCCCTGTAGCAAATTAACGTAATAATTACAAATGAAATTAAATCTTAAAGAATTATTTTTATTTAACTTTATGTATGTATGTATGTATTTTAATTTGGCCAGAGAGGGCCAGAGCAAGAGCTACGGAAAGTGAGAAGGCAAGCTGCCAGGTCTGGGACTCAAACTGTGTTCAGCCATATGGGAATCTGGCGCCCTTACCCACCATGCCACCTCCTGGCCCACAAATAAAATTAAATCTTAAAAAAATTCCCAGTCCAATTGGAGTGAGTTCAATTCAGACACTTAAAAGCACAATTTTCTCAAAGTTTATTCATTCATCCTTTCCATGAAAAGGAGGGGCACCCCCACGAGGATCCTCACATAGCAGTCCACCCCAAGCCTCAGGCAGCTTTGGATCATGGCAGTTGTGCCATGTGTTGGGGGAAGGGCGTCTCCAGATGTAAACTCGGAACTCTCCCATGAGGCTCAGCCTTAGAGTTCGTTGTGTCACTGCTGCTCCACAACCAGCTCCCAGACTTTTTTTTCTTTTTAATTATTTTATTTTGAGGCCAGCAGGTGGCTTGATGGTTGGTGGGGGGGTGATGGACTCCTACACGGTTCAAGTCCCGGACATGGCAGCTTGCTTTCTCACTTTCTCTCTCTGGTCAACTCATAATAAAACGAAATAATGACAATGAATAAAATTTAAAAAAAAATACATACTTTGGGACCAGCATATGGTGTAATGGTTCCGTTGCTGGACTCTCACACAGTCGACCACAGTTCAAATCCTGGACTTAGCAACTTAAAACTCATGCCAGGAGCAGGTACATATGCTCAAATCCCAGGAGGAGAATAGAGGAGAAAAGACTGTGGCGTGGCCATCCCACCTGGGAGGATGATTTCTCACTTTCTCACTCTCAACAAGCACATATGCCCTATAGTAAAAATCTCTTTTAAATTTTTTTTTTACTGTACCTTATTATGCATATGAGGTTATTGAGCCACTGCCCTGCTGGATAACACAATGACCCAGTTCTGTTGTTTTGGCATAGGTGCTACAATGAACATCCTTCTCCCTCTTTTTTTTTTTTTTTTAAAGAATTATTTTGTTTAACTTTATTTATTCATTCTAATTTGACCAGAGAGGGACAGAATGAGAGAGAAAATGAGAAAGCGAGCTGTCAGGTTTGGGACTTGAACCGTGGTCGGCAATGTGGGAGTCCAACGCCCTTAACCACCACTCCACCTGCCGATCCCCTCCCTGTTTATTTTAATGCCAGTGCAGTGACTTGAAATTTTCATACGGAATTTGCCATGTCAAGCTCTCCCCTGCTAAAAACTGTCCTTGAGGATCAGCCAGGTGGCATGGTGGTTAAGGAGGCTGGATCCTACATGACTGACTGCACCATTCAAGTACTGGACTGACAGCCTAAAAAACTTGCCCAGAATGTTGCGTGTGCACATCCAAAATCCTGAGAGGAGATGGTGGTGCAGAGGGACTGATTGGAGAGGATTGAGTAGAAGGGAAGGGGCCTCTGCCCTCATCCAGTTGTGGCAGCACCCCTGCTGGGGCCAGGATCCATCCATAGGAGGCCACAATAAAACATTGAACTAGAGCCAACTTTGCTGCCCCACTCCCGCCCAAAACACTCATCACTACCTTCAGGTTCCACCCCAGTTTCAGGGAAGATTGGGTGGGAAGAGC